TTGTTATTCCTGAGAAAAGAAGGAAAGGAAGGTGTGGGGGTGTTTTTTTTTCTTCATCTACAAAAGCTTCAATTAACTGTGATTGCTCCATGTGCACCTTTTAGTCGTGCACTGGGGAGCCAGAGCAGAAATTGTTTTCCACTTGGTTGTTTTAACGTATATACAGCGCTCCAGCAGTCTAAATGACTCCTTTCGTGTTGGTGACAACTTTCTCCTTTGGCTCATACTTCTCCTGCAGAGTTTACTCTTGTACAGTGAAAACATGCTCGATACGACTGTAGCAGAGACGCTTTAAACTTGCTGCTGCTCCAATGCTCATACTTCAGCACAGTATTTATGTGATTTCAGCTGGTAAAATTGCCAGATAAAGATGAGGGAAGTCTACAAATGCAGTCAAGTGCAGCATGATTTCCTAAAGTCACTCACTGGAATAAACTTGTTCACTTTTTTTATCCGCTGAAACCCATTTTAAAGGATGAGTGATACGAGGTATTTACAGATTGGAGGATGTTTTTAAGCCTGTACTACAAGCAATCAAACAAGCTGACATGAACTGTATGTTTTTCTGCTGTAGCATACGCAATCTCATATCTATCTGACCAGATTACTACAATTATAATCAGTGTTGTTTAAAGCCTGTAGGTGCTTGTAATTAACTGTTAAGTTTACAAACCCTTAATTAGTTAGCAGCATAAGCAGCTTTGTCTTCATCATTAACGTTGTGTCCACAATAATCAGGCTATTTTCCTCTTTCACTTAAGAAATGATCATGAATATTACAAACACAATGTACCGACTGGAAGCTAAGAAATACAAAGGGATAAATATTGAAATAATAAGAAAGATGTTGTGTATTTCAGACAGGACGAAATAGTGAACAAAATATTGTAGAGTCACCTTCAAGCTTCTTTAATCATCATGTCTTTTAATTAGCTCTACGGCTAATTTTGATTATTCCAGATTTTGTATTTTTATACTTCTTGTAACTTAACTGTATTTAAAGCCTCTGTGAGGACTTCTCTGTCTGTTGATTTTGGCGCCCCCTGTGGACATAGCTGTAACCTTTTTTTGTTGCTGATATAATATGGTCCATTTTTAGCTCTATGGCACATTTAACAAAGAGACATTTTGCTATAAGTTTAAATTATTCCAGATTTTGTATCTTTTCATATTTTCATACTTCTTATAACTTCACTGTATAAAAATCTCCTTTGAGGAACTCTCTGTCTGTGTTGACTTTGGCGCCCCCTGTGAACAAAGCGGAAACCCTTTTTTGTTGCTGATATAAAATGGTCCATTTTAAGGTTGTAAAAGTCTTCTGTTCCCATTTGATAGTGCCATTTTTCACTTACTGTTAATACTTTCTCCGCTCAAAAATTATCGTTTAGACATCGTTGTTGTTGTTGATGATGGTCTCATTTGCTTTTGTACATCACTGTTTATTTCAGCCTGTTTTGTAACTGATAAGAAACTCCCCACTGGTGCTTTAAGTATCGCATTTACAGGGCTCTCTCTGTTCAGATCTGTATTTACTTATTTAGCTAGAGGCTGAAGTAACTGACTATAAAGCTGACCACATGTGTATGACTATACAAGACAAGATAAGATCAGATAAGATAAGAAGAACTTTATTTATCCCTGAGGGGAAATTCAATAGTCTCAAGTTTAAGATCCTCTCAGGTTTCAAATGTCAAGATTGTATCTAAGGACTTTTTGAGTGTGTTTTTACTGTATAAAAGAGAGCTGTTGACTTAAAGGAGTTGTTATTACATTGATTGAACCTTTTTCTGTGTATGACCCGACTGTTACTAAACCTGCAGGTAATATCCGTCTACAGATATTTCCATTAGTAGAAAAAATATCTGAAGCTTGAACTTGAGGATTTTCCAAATGTAAAAAGAAAATGATATTTGAAAAAAACAGATCAAACTCCTTACCGACATACCTAAAAGTGAAAAAGTTTGCAGAAAACAGTTTTTTCAAAATTCAGTGAACTGACTAATCTTAGCACCTTACACATATCTCAGACATAATTAAAGCTCCTGTCAGCGGTTATTAGTGATGGGCATGGCATATCTTTTAGATGTACTGAATCACTAGAATCAGTTCACTAGAAAGATTCGTTCACCGAATCACAGAATCATTCACCACTTGGCGGGAGGAGCCTGTGACTCCGACTTCCTGAACTGATACTCAGCTGAACTGTTCAGGATTCAGATCATAGCTTCTCGGACTGGAAGACAAGAGTGTTGTGGTTGTGTTACTCTCTTATGGTATACTATTTATCTGGTCTACTCAGTAAATTGGGCTCAGTGACTGTTAAAACAACAGGGAACAACAGCCGCCATGAAATTGTATCCCTCAGACAAAAATGATTCCAGAGAGTGTAGTGATTTGAGTGATTTGTTTACCGAGTGATTCAGGCATCAGCACATGCGGTCCCTCACTCACCGGCTGCTCACCTGGCAATGCTGCGTGTTATGGCAGCTACGTTGCTGACAGCTCAACTGAAGTGAAAAAACAAACGAATCACTCGAGGAAGTGATTCGGTGCAGTACACTTTAAAGATTAGGCTCTTTTGAACGAATCATTCGCGAACGACACAACACTAGCGGTTATTGATTACTCGTGAAACAGACTCAAATAAACAGTGGTAGGAATAACCACTAGCTTTATAGTTGTTTAGCCTTAGCTGAAGTAGGCTACTGACATCTACCCCAGCAGTCATGTGACCATGTCAGTAAAAGTGACTGATCATTTCAAGCAACAATGCATCTCTGCTACTGTGTTACTGCATAATGTGTCCTTAAAAGTGGGATAACTCATTAAGAACAGACTGGAAGTTTAATTAAAAGCATTTTCTCTTTGCAGAACAATGACTTAAACTCTCCAAACTAAACCTGCTTGTGCCAGAAGACAGCCCATGATTGAAATTACTAAGTCATCCCACACCGTGTTCCCGCTCAAGACTCTAACTTTAGAGGTGTTAAAAGTTCATATTTACTGGCATTAATGCAGAGTTACACAATCAGCACAACCTTCATTAATGAGCTGAAAAGGTGGGGCTAATTAAAAGTAATGAGCTGTGGTGAGATGTCTGTATACCACCCACATATAAGCTTCAACTTAACGGTCAACAGGAGACGGCTCTGTTATTAGACTGTATTTTACCTGGAATTTATTCAACCGTCTCCAGCTCTTGTAGTGTTTAAAATGTTCCTTTGAGCCTCTTAGTGTGTTTTCCTTCAGCTTTATGTAATTTACCGGCTTTATTAAACCTTGAGGTTAACACTGATGGATTTTTGAATTGTCACAAATACATAATACATTATGTAAGGACTTTATGTAACGCAAGGACAACAGCTCATTACTTATTGTGTAGCGCGAAGAGTGCAAAACCCTCAGACAGAATGTGGTCCATATTCAACAATCAGGGTTCATTCAATTCATTCAATAGCTTTTATGGAGAAAACATAGTGTATGTGAAAATAATAACTGTTATCTTATACAGTGTAGATAAGTTATTAGGCATATAAAAAGCTATGGGTACAGAGCAGGAAATCAGCCGTGAAGAATAGGCAGGTAAAATATTCAGCTGGAATTTCCCCTGTTTTAAATTTTCTCCAGCACAGGGGCTTTGGGCGTAAAGGGATTGTTCCACTGCTGCAGAAATATCAAATCATTTGTATTGAGTCTTGGCTGAATCAAAGATTGAACTATAAATTGAACCTTTTTATGATTGTGACACTATTACAACTGGTGCCGTATGGCCCCCAATGTTATTTGTGCTTGCACATTAAGGTGTGACCGTTTATTTCTCTCTGCAGACTGCTTTGAAGTGAAACCTGTGAGGAGCTTCCAAAACGACACGACATTCTGGTGAGTTCCCAAATTGAAATTAAACCCTCTTCGCATTTACATAATATACTACCAGACATTACCCATCCAGACTGTGAGCATGAGCCGAAAGTGACGGGGCAAGGGAGAAGAAGGGAAGAGAAAATGATGTTTCTGTCCTCTGACTCTATCGATCAGTCATTTTTTATTTCAGAGAGTCAGTGTGTGTGACTCACCATGCATGCACATTCTCACTGCATTAAACACAAGGGCAAATCCTACAGTTTCACCCACTTTTATCCTTTTCCTTTTGCATATTTTTACTCAAATTAAGACCCGAAGGAATGCAAAAGCTCTGCGTCTCCTTCTTTCCTCTCCTCTCTGTCGCATGCAGATTAAACCACATGTTCAAATAACAGACAGAGAGTGAGAGAGAAAGAGAGAGAGCCTGTGACACTGTTAGCCATCCTCACACATGGACAGGGTTGGGCTGGCGCCACGGCTGTTTGCCTCATAGCCTGCGCAATGGGAGTCGGCTCCATTATCAGAGCCGCTGCCTCGCCACCCTGCAGCAAACCCAGCATCCTCTGCTCCTGCAGATTTAATTTCTTATCTCAATAGGGAAAACAGCCTCTCTGATGAACAGCTGAAAACACCCAGGGCTGCTGTGAACACGGATTCAGCATACATACAATAGATGATATGATAAACTGGTGAACAGGCATAGCACTGATACTGCTCACAGGAATTTGTGGTCGGTCTCAGATATTCAGGGGAATTTGCTCGGTACTGTAAATAATGATCTGTGGAAAGGGGGGGCCTTCTTCGCCATTAATCCAGCAGCGTAGCAATTATTTATGGAGCCGCCATCAAGGACATGTCAAGCTTTAAACGGAGAAGCCTCACAGGTGAATATCTGGTTTGTGCTGCTGTTGAATCTCTGTCTCAAGTCATCTCCTCGTTTGCAGAGAGATAAAAGCTGCTCTTGAACTGCTCTACTCTCACATGACATTAACTCAGCGTGAACCATTGCCACATGTGTGCTCCTTTTGTCAAACGTCTTACGGGAGCATATTAACACGTCCCGGAGAACAGTTGCAGAATATTCTTAATGACATGTTTTCACAAACATCTTTGAGCTCGAAAACTGGAGCTTTGTACTGTGACATTGCTTTGTTTCTTCGTGTTCCCCCTAATGTTTTCCCATTTGCTTTGTTTCTGACAACCCGCAAATTTTATTTCCTGCTCCACTCGGTGAGAAGCCAATGGAAAGGTTTGACTTGTGGCTTTCCCAGACCTTTACCAACAGCTTCATCATCATGGTTGAAAGCCACTCTGGTGGTTAACTGTGTGTCAGATTTCCCATGTTGTAAAACTTCAGTTATTGTGTAAGTGGATGTTTCCTGCTTGATTTAGTTTTCGGGTGTTGCACTCCCCGTTTGCAATATCTTAAAAGTGGGGTAGTCAGGATCTGAGAAAGTGCCAGTTTTTGGGCGAAATCTTGAATGTAAACTCTACCCTTCCAAACCAGGTTTCCCCTCAGCTCCTCCTCTCCCCTCCCTCTCTGCTCCAGAAAGCCCCGCCCACAAACAGACGCACCTGCTCGCTTGTGTCGTTTTAATTATATTCAGATATAATGCAGATAAATACTTCAGATAATTACAAATGAGGCCCAGTCAATGTGAAAGTAAAAAAGATATGTGCTAGTACTGTAGATGCCAACAGACTACCAGCAAACACAATGTTTGCAGGACTTCTACAACTAGGATTAGGAGACATAGTCCAGGACCCGAGGTAAACAGTTTAGCGGCGCTACAACAGGCAGCAGGTTCCATTTGACAAGAAACACTTCTGTTACACTTGGCTTACTTTGTTAAAGCTGTTTACCTGTCCACCAGAAAGGTTACAGCGTCCCTAAGATCCTGAAGCGTCCTCCATCAACCCGGCTTTTTAGCTCTTGTAGGTCTACCTCCTTTTCAAGCGCCCGTTTTTCTGCCAGAGTCTCCAGTATTTACTTTGTTTTCTTGCTTGTGTTGGCAGTCATGGCCAAAGGAGGATTCAGGCAATTTTCCGTACTTTCTGGTTTGTTTATACTGTCTGATGTTGTAGCACTAACTTTGTTTGGGCTCGTGCATGTTATCAGAGGACGTGGAGCGTGTCTCACGACATGAGGGAGCAGCATCTGCCTCATAACCATAGACTGTATATAGAATGGACCCCGCCTGCCTCCTCGCTGGGTGAAGCCACTCTGAGAACAGCACCCTCTGGTGACGGGCTGCAGTATTGGTCAGTATAGGCCAAGTGTCATCACAGCAACTCTCAGCAACTCTCCCGCCAAATGTGCATGATGCTACTGCGCAAGTGTTGAAGTGCGTACAACACTACGCAATGTTGGTTTCAGGAAAAAGGAGAGAAAACGCTGAATTACTGCGAGCTTTTTAGCTTCAAATCCGTATACTGGTGGAAGGCGTAACCAAGTTGTCCATAGTATATACAGTCTATGCTCACAACCAATCAGCACTAAGGAGCAGTGTCCGCCTCACAACCAATCAGGTTGGGCGAGGCGGAGAATGGCTTTGTTTACAGTCAGAAAGAGCAGGATGTTCAAAAAATTTAAAATGTTGACAACGCAGACATAAAAAAACACAGTGATATCGTTACATGACGAAATGTCATCAATAACTAATAGCTATTGACTGATATTAAAAGCTTTTTTGTATATACACCACAAAAAAAGATGCTTCTTTAACAGATTCCTGCCTTCTCCACCTTTAACTGTGGTCGAACAGTTCAAGAGTAATTCTTTACAAGCATTAAAATTTCAGCAGCAGCCTCTGCTCCACAGATCTTTGATAGATGTACCTTTTAACAGCTTTTTCTGTAAAACACTCCGCACAAATGTTTTAATTTATGTATAACAGATTCACATTGCTGTTTCCCAAAATAATAAAGCACCCAAGTTGTGGAAGAATTACATTACGCTGCACCGCACTGTAAAATCTGCTTCAGAGACATCATCAAACAGCAGGCAGGGCAGCTAAAAGTTGCAGATCAGAACCAGATAGTTCTCGGGTGGCTGGGGTTTACATAATGTGGCACCGTGAGAGCACATTGATTTTTCTTGCTTTGAGCAGGCGGTCTTGCAGAATGCTTTTCTGCACAAGGCCAATGTCTGGCTTCAGAAATGTACTGGGAGGCAGAACAGAAAGTGTGTATATCAGCTGATTTGGATATTAGATGGAAATAGAAAGTTAGCTTGAGCAGCAACAGGACTCTAAAAGGCCAAAATGCTAGATTAGCTATATTTCCTCCCCGTTGAAAGGAGATGAAACGTTTACAAAGCTTCTTATGTTTAAATGGGATGAGCAGAGTGTTATCAATGAGGCCAGCTGGGGTTGAATATACGGCTCTTGAGATCCTTTGAAACTGATGAAATGAGGTATTTTGATTAAGGTTTTAACACATTATCCACACAGGATAATATCTGCTTTTAAAATTAAGCACAAGTCGACTATGTAGTCATGAGATCATTAATTACCCTCATGATTCTTCAGGAGGTGATTGGGTTGTCTTTTGGAGAGGAAATGAGTTCGGCACTTAGGATATCTTCTTCCATGTGAGGTCCAGGTGACAGTATTTTCATTATCTGTTCCTCCTAAAGCCGTTCTGTGCAGGGAGGCTGCACAGCACAGTGCACCAAACAGGGCCGACACTGATTCATAGCTCTCCATAGTCTGGTTCATGCATTTGCTATTGTCCACACATGTCCTTGTTGAACAAATGTGTCTGCTTTATAGAGCCGTTTTAAATGGGAAAAACCGTTTGAAAACATCCTGACACAAAGATACCCGACAGGTCTATTGCACGCAGTGTGCGAGGTTCAAAAAAGTCTTTGCAATCCTGCATAACAAAGGCGCGTTTAAAAGGTCATTCAAGAAGTTTCCAGTGTTTATCTCAAAGAAAAAAAAAGAGCCTTCGAAGATGCGCTTAATTGATTTCTCTCTGCAGTAATGTAAAACAGATTTGCTACCGTTGATTTACAAAAGAAAAGAAGTCTAATTGTGTGACCCTTAATCGCTGATACTGTTTCAAACTGCACGCTGACAGCTACAGTATGAGCACAGGAAACACAAAGTGAGAGTGCATCTCATGAGTGAGTCAAAAAATAAATAAATATCATGTAATTTAATTAGTGCGGATGCTCTGGGATGCTGCTAAAATGCTTATTTAACACTTCTCCTCTCCCTATGTTTGACAAAGCCTTCATTAGCATCACCTTAGGTTGTTAAAGTATCTGATGTTTGCCATATATACTGTATATATATGAACACTCACACTGAAATAAAATCAATACCAACATGCTATATAGCAATGAATCAGCCGTAAGCAATTCTTTAAATAAATGATTGATTATGTGCAGGAATGCAGAGGATCAAGTTCTTCATATATGCTGGAAACATGTTGCCTTAGTTGTTTCAGATTACATGTTTTTCTTTATTGTAATGAGGCAAACTGACAAAATAACACTTGAAACCACACCCTCTCCTCCGTCTGTTATATTCCTCTGCAACACAGTGAATACATCAACAGACTAAAGTATAGATTTTTTTCCCTCTGTCTGAAATCAGGCTCTCTTCATGCAAATAGCTGTTTTGATGTTTTTTGTTGGCATCTGCTGCTTTTCTCAGGGCGCTATAATTAAACAGGAGGAGGCCACAACCCTTCTTTATTCCGTGGCAGTTTGAGAAATGGCTGTTGCGAAATGCGCAGTGTCAAAGCAAAAAGGCAATACCAGATGAAAAACAGCAAAAAAAAATCTCACTGCACACGCACTCACAGTGGAATCTTTGGAGTGTTTGTATCTGAGGATTTGTGAATTAATTTTCATTCTCAGCGTGATTGTCCCAAACTTGCTCAGCAGAACTGCATCATATTCTGTGTATAGAGCTGTCTGAAAATTAACTCCTCTGAGGACATGGCTTGTGGCTCCACGGCTGAAAAGCATATCGACCTGACTTGATACCTCTCGCTGGTAATGGTTTAAAGCTGTGACACCCTGCACTTATAGATAAACACATCAGAAAATGGGGGTAATAGTCCGTTGGGTTTAATTCAGCCCACCTAAAACACAGTCAGCCTCGATCAGCTGAATTGTTTGGACTCGTCGTCGTCGTCATTTTCTTCTGCTTACCCGGGTCCGGGTCGAGGGGGCAGCTGCTTCAGGAGGGAAGCCCAGACGGCCCTCACCCGAGCCACTTCCACCAGCTCCTCCGGGGGGATTCCCAGGTGCTCCCAGGCCAGGCGAGAGATATAAGCCCTCCACTTGGTCCTGGGCTGGCCACAAGGTCTCATATCGGTGGGACATGTCTGGAACACTTCTAACAGGAGGCGTCCAGAAGGCACCCTATCCAGATGCCCGAACCACCTCAGCTGACTCCTCTCAATGTGGAGGAGCAGCGGTTCTACTCTGAGCGCCTCCTGAGTGTCTGAGCTCCTTACCCTATCTCTAAGGCCGAGCCCAGCCTCCCTGCGCAGGATACCCATTTCGGCCGCTTGTATCCGCAATCTCCTTCTTTTGGTCATTACCCAAAGTTCATGACCATGGCTGAGGGTCGGCACGTAGATCGACCGGTAAATCCAGAGTCTCGCCTTGGGGCTCAGCTCTTTCCTCACCACGACAGATCGGTTAAGCGTCCGCATCACTGCTGACGCCGCTCCGATCTGCCTGTCGATCTCCCACCCCATCCTAACCTCACTCATGAACAAGATCCTGAGATACTTAAGGCAGGACCTCCCCTCCAACCCAGAGAAGGTAATCTACCTTTGTCCGACTGAGGACCATGGCCTCGGACTTGGAGGTGCTGAACTGGACACCCTTCACCCCCCGGCTGTGCCTAGAAATTCTGTCCATAAAGGTTATGAACAGAACCGGTGACAAAGGGCAGCCCTGGTGGAGTCAGTGTTCGGACTCTATGAAAATAATAATCCATTAAGATAACAGAGAAAAATGAACGTTTTTATTTACACACTTCGTGCCGCCATCGAGGTTTACACCCCCAGCACTTTCCCTGAACTGACAACATCCTCAGGATAACCCTCTTATGTCATCATTAAAGGGCTCAGACTCGGCACTTTGTCAGAGTTTGCCGTCCGGTGAAGAGGCACAAAAGGCGGCAGAAAATAGATCTCTTTGATGAATAGCAGATTATGATGGAGAGGTGAGCAAACTTACCTCTTATTCAGCTGCCCACATGTGCAGTGCAGGAGACTTACCATCCCCGACAGCAGCAAATAAGCCTCTGATTCCACGGACAAGCTTCAAATGGGATGTAATCCCTCTGGATCTTTTGCTAAAAAAAATACAGTGAAACATCCATCCATCCCCTCCATTTAGATTTAACATAAAGAAGCATGTGTTTACATAAAAGATCAAATAAATATGCTAATTCTTTTTCACTCTATGGGCATTAATTGTTTGTACAGTATTTATAGGCTGTCTTCATGCATTAACATCCCAAAGACAGGCGTCCTTTTAGCCGTCTTGTGTCTGTATAATCAGAGGATCAGCTTCTTTTTAGCCCATTGTGGAGATATGACATGTGAAAAGATGACATAAAATTTCCCTCTGAGCACCGTGACTTGACGCCTCAACCCGGCAGAGTCTCCTTCAGCATCGCTCTGTTTTTTTCTCAGTTTTTAGTCAGCCCACATGTGACAAATGAGTCTCCAAATTTAGAAACCTTACTGACAACTTCTTAGCTTAGAGGTGAGATAACATGCAGAGGCTCACAGATGAGGGTTTATGTAACATACCTGAGCATGTTTAATGAAAGGGTTAGAGCAGAATATTCAGCTTTCTCTGGCAGCTGGAGTCCTCTGAAATACTGGGAACTGCTTTCTGCCTAAACGGTTCAATACCTGGAGGATTAAAGGGTCTGGAAAAATACTCATATTTAACAAGAAAAGAAAAAAAATGTTGCATATTTTTTAAACATGTTTTAAAATCAATATAATCACCCTGTGTCCCCCTGTAATGAATCTTGGAGTGCCTTCGGAGGTCCTGCCCCACTGTTAAGTTTATCATTGTCGCAGATTCGCATGAGGCTAATTATTTTCCACTGCCAGTTCAACATGCAGAATTTACCCTTAATATTCTGCGGTTCAGATCTATGAGGGAGGAATCTAGTGTAACCACACATTTTGGATAAAGCTAGTCAACAATAGCCAATAAATCAAACCAACAGACTGGTTGTTCTCGCTTTAGATCTGGGCTCATTTCCCGGTAATATCTGATATTCCAGTAAAGGACTCCAGTTCTTTTTACTTTCTTAAACCTACAGTTGGGGTGTGGAAAGTAGACAACAGGGATCTATAACCTTTGCAACCTCACCCTTTCTAGGATACGTGAAAGCAACCATTAAAAACAAAAGGTTTACACAGTACTAAGGTAGTTTTCTCACTTGGCTTGACTTTTGGTGGCTCACAGATAACTTTAACCCCGACATCCCTGGTGTTGGAGTCCTGTGTGGATCCTCTGTAAATGATCTCTCAGTACTGTATTCCCTGTAAACACTCCACTGGTCCCGATCCAGCTCTTTTTGTTTTTTTTCAGCAGATGGTTTCTGCTGTCTGCTTTCCCAGATCTGGTGGTAAACAATCTGTCCATCATGAATTTGTAGATCACGGAGAGTACATGCAAAGCAGTCCAGGTTGTAAATAAAGATTTTTTAAGGTCCTGAGGGGAACTGGAACGTTTCTTTGCTTCATTTTCTAATAAAAAAATCAATTCCTCTGTCTTTTAGTTGTCAAAAGTATCATCCATTAAGACTTTACTCTGTGGAAAATGTCAAGAAAGACAGTTTGGACGGCGTCTTGTTAATCACTTAACTGACACATTCCCCCAGCAGCAGTTTGAGGCAGTCAAAAAAGAAGAAATATGATGCTTCTTTTTGATTGTGGGCTCATTTGCTCATAAAAAGTTAACAGTCTCAACTTTATCTGAAAGTTAAAACTCTTCTCAGGAGCTTAGACCCCTTAAGCAGTGGTTCCCAATCAGTAATCAGAATCAGTACATAGTATGTAATCTGGATACAACAATTAAATTTCATATTAGGCACTTTTCATTACACTTTAACGTCAACTCACCATAATGTGAACTCTGTTTCTGGCTCATTTTTGCAAGGGTTAGCTTGTGTTGCTGACGCAGGAAAATGACGTGCCGAAGAGTCAAGCGTGAAAGTGAGGCGATGGTGGAAGTGGTGGTCTTTCAAAACAAGACGGATGAAAAGAAATAAAAATATTTATTAATCATTATTTTTTTTGCGGCCCGGTACTAATTGATCCACGGACAGGTACAGGTCCTTGGCCTGGTGGTTGGGGACCTCTGCCTTAAAGTACTTGTGAGGGTCCAATAGCAACAGGACTTGGAGACACAGTGACAGCAGAAGGTCGTAGATCGACAGCTTTTTTTACCCTGAGCTCAAAATTCAATTCTAACCTTTATTTATTCTCGAAGGAGCCTTCAGGTTTCCCTCATTTCCAATGCTGTTGAGATTACAACAGTCAAACAAGCAAACATACTGTATGAAAATTTACAAAACAATAGATGCAGTTAAAACATGTACAATCTGGAATGAAGTATTTCAAAATCAAAGTCAAACTCTGCAAGAGAGGGAAGAGCTTCAATTTTTAAAGTTTGTTGGAGGACATCCTAAGACTTTGGGGCATCAAAGGAAAATTTTGTTTTTTCGAAGTTCACTATAAACTCGAGGGATTTTCAAGTTTAGCAGATGGGAGGAGCGGGGCGTGTATGTGAGAGGATTACACGCCAACAAGTTTGATATATAAAATGAGAGTTTGGCGATGAGGGCCTTGAAAATAAACAAAAAACCAATCTTTATGACATCTCTCCTCAAGAGAAAACCAACCAACCTTCTGATACTGAATGAAATTATAGAGACAAGGTATAGGGGAGGATGAGTGATAAACAATACCAGAAGATAAAATAACTGCAATAAAATAATCACGATTACTGTATAGATTTTGCCTTCAGACTTCTATATCCTTGAGCCATGAGCAGAGCTGCTACTTGCCAATAGCAATTAATAAGCAAATCAGTTATGGGGATGTTCATTATTTACCTGACCTTTTCCACCTGCATAAAAACTGTGAATATATTAAACTGTTGTTTCAAACTTTAAGTAAAAGTGCATGTGTCACAAACCTCAAGTATAGACTCTGTGTTTTCAAAGAGGGTCTGTAACATCAAGGTAGTCAGTCTGGATTTTATAGCGACAAAGTGAGTTCTCAAAGCTGTTTTGTATGCATCAACAAACACTTTTTTTCTATATGGGCATCACATAAAAGATTTGACTGGCTCCATATCAAAAAGATGTAAATTTGCGAGATTGCGGGAGCCTAATTATTTAACTCCGTCCCTGGGCAGGTTAGTTTTACTCATCGATGTGCAAAAAGCAAACAAAGAGACATCAAAGCAGGAAGGAGGATTCAGCGAAATCCAGGAAAACCATCAGAGAACCGACACATTAATGCATGTACGACAATCACAAAACAACTCGACTAAACATCACAAATTATTACAACATTTGAGTTTTTATGTGCGGTATGACAGCTTCCGTATACTCACAAAGACAGGCATTAAAAGCTTGGTTATTGTTGTTTGTGTTGGCCCTATTATTAGCTATTCTCTCTGTTCTGTCTGACAAGAGCTGCTCAGATAGTAATTTGAGTTTACAGCCAATGACATGAGATCTTAGGTTTAGATCAAAACCGCAGAGAAAATATTTGTTTCCACGTACTGAGAAAGACGTGGTAACAGAAACAAAGTTCCTTCACTTTCTGTATGTGCAACTTAAATTGTATATTCTTTGTTGCATGTTGGAGCCGCTGCAGAGAAGATAATGAATGTGCTGTCAGAGTTTGGAAAAGAAAAGGCAAACAGCCTCCCAGTATGAAGCCGTACAAAAGTGCCATGTTTAACGGTTCACGCTGTGACTTTCTCTGGAGAATTGTGTCAGCGAGACCTGGCATCTCTGGAGACAAACATAGCGGGACGTCCGGAGCTGCAGAAAGATGGGAGTCGCCAGATGAAGAGCATGATGGAGAGCTGGTTTCTGATCCAAACACCCACAAACTCACTCCTTTTCCTTTTTTTTTTTAGTAATTCTGTAATCGGGACAGAAAGCACGCACAGATGCATCAATTACTCCTGCGTGTTAGCAGTTTGATGGATCAAATAAAACTAAATCTATCGCAGATGATAATGAGTGCAAACATGACAGGCTTTGGACAAAGCAGAACAGCAATTCATGACAGACATCATGTTCCCTTTGTTTGAAATAAAGCTCGCCTGATTGTGCAGCACGAGAAGAAGAGTCATAAATTATTCAGGTGCTCCCAGTCGGCCGCCCACTTACAGCCGCTCACTCGCCTCTGACTGGACGTATTCCTCTTCTTCTTCTGTATTCCTCAGTGATCCGCCTGCTTTAAAATGGCAGCAGAATACATGTGACCTCTGCGTAGAACTTGCTTCCACTCCAGTGCTTAATTTATTCATTACCCCACGCCTGTATTGGGGATGCATCACAAAGCCGGCGATCGTAAATACTGTTAGGTACCGAGATGAATGCGAAGGAGAGGGAACGCCGAGGATTATTACAGCTGTATGTAAATAACAATGTGAAATATGACCTTTTTCTCATCACTCAAAGACTGAGGTGAGGGTGGAGTAACAGAGCACAGCAGTTATAGATGTGAACACTGTTTGCTGTATTGTAGCCCATGAAGGACATCTCTCTGCACACAGCACAGCATGTCATTTTTCCACTCAGCCGTTCCTTCATTCATGCTGATATGAGGTCTGCAGGAAAGGGGGAAAAAAAGGGGGGGAAGATGGTTGAATGCCTTCTCTGTGAAGCATTTCTTATGGTTTTAACACTCACATCTCCATGACTAGCTGTCTATTGTGTGTAAGGCTTCAGTCAATTTCTGCAGATGTATGGTCGTGACATTGGAAAACTGGAAACGATAATAAATCCTCACTGAGCATCAGGCTGTCTCAGCAGACAGTTACAGTCTCTGTAGGTAGTAAAACAGTAGGTTTAAGGTTTCATTCGCATCCTCAACATTTTTATAGAATTAAATCTTGTTTCGCTGGTTTTTACTGGGAGGTTTAGAGACAGCAGTTTATTGTCACTTTGTTGCGTGTTCTTTTTTTTTATTAGAAGTGGCTCGGTCCACTAAAATCTCTGAGCTGAACTTTTTATTTTTTTTCCCGTTTTAGTCATTTCGTTCCTCTTAAAAGCATGACCAAGGCTTTTTTCTCACCTTCAGAACGATTTCATTATTGTAACCATAACAACAGAGATCCATTTTTAAAAATAAAAAACAGCATTTTTCTCCTCAGTCAGTTGAGTTAGATCAAACTCCAGCAGCTATCGATCAGCTTTGTTATGGCAAATTAAGTGAACAATAACAGACATTAAACATCGTCCTGAAGGTGTTTTACATTCATAGATTTGCAAATGAAACACACGGGTGGTGTTACTGTGAAGGAGCGCAGTGTTTTCGTCACTGTCCACCGCATCAATTTCAAACAAGACAAATGCGGTTTTCTGATTTTTTTTTTCTGACAGCAGATTAGGCGTAATTATTGCTGAGTCATGCTTTCTGCGGCGTGAAATGAGATCAAAGTTGCTCGTGACGGAAAAGGACACATTTTTCTCTTTATTGAAACAGTTTCAGTTTGTTAAGCTGCAATTACACAGATACACCATTTACTGCACTTTAGTTTTCCTGACAAAGTAGCTGCTAATGGTTTTTTTTTTTTCTTCTTTTTTTTTTGTTGATAGGGGTGAAACTTTAGAATTTCAACTTCTACAACTACTGCAATAAATCTGTCTGAATTTTGACGCATCCTCTGTGACAAACCTGAAACACTAATCCTTTTAAATTCAATCATATTTTATCAGAAAAAAAAAATATTTCTTTAAGTGCCAGACTCATGAATATTTTCCCTTATGAGACAAAATACAAATCCCCCTTCCTGCCAGCAGTATAACTCGTTTAATCATTCACATTTTCTGCTCTTGACAGCTACAGCTTATAAATGTACACACAGTTTAGAGCAGACTGCAGGCGAGGGAATCATTTTTAAACGTCCGTGTCGATCTAATTGTTCTTTGAGCGCAGAAAGCCATCGAGGGACTTACAGACACAAATTGAGGTCGTGTCCACCCACTTTCAACAGAGATGCTGCCCAAATAAATGGATCAATAACTCCTCTAATCACTTTCCCACTTTGTCTCTGACAGACTGCTGAACTCTTTCTGCCGAATCCAAAATGAGAAATCGCCACCCCTTTTTGAAAAATGTGTCCGTGCAAAGTTTGGAACAGGATATCAAATACCATCTCCGAGCGCCAAATCTCTTCATCCTGATAGTAAGTGTTGCAGCAGAGCAAAGTTGATGCGTGTTGCGTGGGGCTCTGTAAAAGGACAATGATCAGTTGATCGTGCAAAAAAAAAAAAAGGCCCGAGTTAACGCCAAGGCAGCACTCTGAAAGCCAATCAATGAGGGCCCCTCACAATGCAAATGCGGGTCTGCTTTGTTGCAGCGAGCCAGTGCTCTTTGTTACGCGTTAGATAGAGGTAAAACAGTTCAGATGCTTTTAATTGGTCGGCCAGCAGAAGCCATTTAATTTTCAGCTGACCAAACAAACAGCAGTGTCGGCCCGAAAGTCAAAGGTTAAGATAGTTTTCCAAGTTGACAAATAATTGCCTGCACGCACCATTAAATTCACATTTAGATTTTAACAGGCTAGGATGGCTGTGAAATGGCATCCTGCATCCTCCTCCTGTTCAGCCCACCATCGGCGGGTGCATGCGGTTAAAATACAAAGAAATAGTCACATTAAAAACCTCCTGCATCATTTAGGTCGCATTTCATGGAAACAGTCATATCGTTTCTTTGTTTTTGTTTCTTATTGATGGATTTAAAAAAAAAAAATCTCAGAT